CTCATATAAAGCACACGCGGCTGCTCGCTCGACACACTGCGCTGCTATATTTAACCATGAGGAAAACAGTTCATATGGACAGCATTCGCTCTAGCAGGAGTTTGAGGATCCTGAAACTGGCTCAGTTTTGATGTTTTTGTTCATTAAGATAATTACACATCAGTTTAATAAAACTAGATCAATCATATTAGCGGTATTTAATAACTTTATCTTCAGCTGAAATAATGCTGATGATCAACTACACAGACAAATTATTCACAGGTGATTTTTTGGATTTACATTTTTATTTACGTTAAGTGGTTGTGAACTTTATTTTTGGGCTGAATTTAAAGAAATAAATTAAGTTGAGCATTACTAAAATTAATTTATTTGTTTAAATTCAACACAAATTGTTTGCAACAATTATGCTGAATTATTTTTTTTGTGTGTATTATGCAGGAAACTAAATTAAAAAGACTTAATAATTAATATCATGAACATCAGCTCATTAAATCACAAAAGACAGAAGAATGGAAAAGCCTCTGCTGATTTGATCGATCTCTATATTATTAGTAAATCTTACAGCATTTTTTGTAATAGTTTGGTTGAAGGTGCTGTAAGATTTGCACTCCTCTGCATCACAAAAGCAGCTCGATATGCATGCAGAAATGTCAGAATCATGCAGAACATACTCGTTTATCTGACAAACAATGCTAAAGTCAGTTATTCTGCTATGAGAATGCGCAGTCCCTGTCAGAATGTCTGTCACCCCGGGTTGCCAGATGGTGGAAAACAGTGCATTTCACATCAGTCTTCAGACTCTCAGTGCATGCGGCTGCAGCTGTAAATGCGCCCTCTGCAGGACAGAAGCAGCCGCAGAACTGAGATGCAGATTCAGTTATTAAAATACACATCAGGGGGGGTTATTTAGCTAATAATACAAATATAACTAGTTTAAACATGAGATGAGCAGCTTACAGTGCATCATCAGCCACACAGTCAGAAATCTGGCAAACTATAGCACGTGCATGAATTAAATTTCATTCATTTCCCTTCAGCTTAGTCCCTTTATTCATCAGGGGTCGCCACAGTGGAATGAACCGCCAACTATTCCAGCATATGTTTTACACAGCTGATGCCCTTCCAGCTGCAACCCATCACTGGGAAACACCCATACACACTCATTTATACTCATACACTACGGCCAGTGTAGTTGATCAGTTCCCCTATAGCGCATGTCTTTGGACTGTGGGGGAAACCGGAGCACCCGGAGGAAACCCACACCAACACGGGGAGAACATGCAAACTCCACACAGAAACACCAACTGACCCAGCCGAGACTCAAACCAGAGACCTTCTTGCTGTGAGGCGATCAGGCTACCCACTGCACTCCACTACACAGTAATGCTGCGTACTGCACCTTTAAGAAATCTACTCATATTCACAATGCAAATGTGGACCGCTCTTATTTTTACTGCAATAAAACAAACCACACCACCCATGATGAGCTCATCAAGCCCCGCCCACATCTGCACTGGACCCAGAAGTGCACAAGAAGAAAAGTCTGCCGCCATTCAATCACATGATCACACACTGCGCAGAGATCTGGGTCATCAATACTTAATGAACAGAGCTGTATTAACACCACAACCAGCTGACGGAGGAGTGCAGAGGCAGGAGATGGAGGAGGAGGAGATGAAAACACTAAAGATGAAGACAGAGAGAGAGAGAGAGAGAGACAGAGAGAGAGAAGAGAGAGAGAGAGAGAGAGAGAGGGAGAGAGAGAGAGAGAGAGAGAGAGAGAGAGAGAGAGAGAGAGAGAGAGAGAGAGAGAGAGAGAGAGAGAGAGCTTCTGCTGAGCTAACAGCCTCCAAAAGCAGGATTAACTCTTGTTGAGTGCTGGACTTATTCACAGCTCAGCAGTAAAACAGCTGCTCAAACACACACACACACACACACACACACACACACACACACACACACACACACACACACACACACTTTAACACACTCTCCATGAATCACCTGGACTGGAAAAACCAACAGTGGAAAATTTCCTGAGGCCCAGAGAAACTCTGAACTGCAGCGATCTGACGGATCCATCAGCACACACACTTCCTCCATACAGCCATTCATCAGGAGCATACACACACACACACACACACACACACACACACACACACACACACACACACACACGCAAACACAAATATGCACACAGTGTCAGACTCTACACAGCAGTAAAGAGAGTGTGAATGAGCACTGATCTGCACACACACACACACACACACACACACACACTGATCCAGAGTCAGCTAACAGACATGCTCTAGTGAGCTGAGTGTTTCTCAGAGGCAGATGATGGAGAATATCAGCACACTGAACATTTCCAGGAAACACTGGCAGAACCGGCAGACTTGAGTCCAGTTTCCAGGATCCACTAATTACCACTGATGAGCTGAATGAGTCCGTCAGGCCATTAGGAAGCCCAGCGGAGAGCACTTCTGTCAATTACATGTGTTTGAGTTTGACATTTACAGCAGAGGCAGACTGAAGCTTTCAGAGATCCCCAACAACACTGAAGCAGCAGCAGAGGAGGAGCAGAGGAGGAGGAGCAGAGGAGGAGGAGCAGAGGAGGAGGAGTGGCAGAGGAGGAGGAGCAGAGGAGGAGGAGCAGAGGAGGAGCAGCCGTTACACACAGCTCACTGCTGTAAGAGCTCAACACACTGTGTGCAGCAGTGCAGGAATACAGCTGTGACTGACATTCACCCTGTGTACATGTCATCAGAGGGGGAAGCTCCGCCCACTAGTGTTTAACTCTTCCTCATTAGCATAAACAGAGTGAGAAGCAGACGCTGTTCAGTAGAGCTCTGAATTAATGAATGAAGGAGTGAAAAATGGATGAATGAAAGGATTAAGAGATGAATGAATAAAGGAACGAACAAACAAACAAATGAATGAACAAAAGAAAAGATGAATGAAGGAATGAATGACTTAAATGAAATAATGAATGCAGGGATGAATAAATTAATGAACAAATGAAGGGATAAATGCATGAATTAATGAACGAAGGGATGGATGAATAAATGAACAAATGAGTGAGAGGATAAATAAAGGAGGAATAAATAAATGAATGAATGATTGGGTGAAGAGATATGTGTGTGTGTGT